ATTTTGTTGAATATACATATTATTATGTTTTAATTTAAAATTAATTCCTTCTATTTCAGATTATATATATATTTTTTGGCTTTATTGCAGTTTAAAACTACCTAACATATCTATGTTATTAAGAAAAATACCCATCGCAATAGCTATAAAAAATCACTGTGATTTAAAGATCGCTCTTTTCGCTGAGACTAAAAAATCGGTACTTCGCTAATCACTACTGTAAGGTTTAAGGATGATCAAAATATGTGATATTGTAATGAAATAAAATGAAAAATTTCCTAGAAAATTTTGTGATTTATCACTGAATATGAATGGAATTGGCAAACTCTTGCGTTTGGATATTTTTGATTGGGGCCTTGGCTAAGTCTTCCTCCATATATTAGCCGTTTAAAATATACCTACGTTTATTAGTCCTCCTTACAAGATAAATATATGTATATTAAATCAGGAAAGGAGTTTGAGTTTAGAAATTAGCAGAAATATTTCTATGCATCCATTAGATAGCTATATTTGGAATAATATATATAAGTGATATATTACTACATTATATACTAGTATTTATTGTGAACCGTTACTTTTAATAATTATGTTGATATTGATAAGCTTTTGGATATGCAGCTTTCATATATTAATTTCTTTCGTCATATCTTCCAACTGCTTTTGTTCCTTGATAATGATTGGTAACCATTTTTCGGACGGTATAAATAACGGTTTATGTTTAAAGTGGACCGATTCTGTTGTGCCTTTATTGTAGTATTTATTTGCAGATGTATTATCATCAATTATGTCCACCAATCTATTAATTTCTTGTAAAAGTTCGTCAATGGAAAGCAAAAACAATTCGCAATCTTTTCCAATATAATAACGGCTATCACCGTGATAAATGCTACTTTCTTGTTGCGGGGAAATAAAACTCCGCTGTGAATGATTTGCTTGAATAGCATACGGCACAAATTTTTGCGAGTTATTATCAGCAGCCAAGTCCCCATATTCAAAATTCCATGATAAAAGAGTGGGTTGTTGAAGATTTGGCCTAAATCTACTTTTCCGCAATTCCTTAGTATCTATTTCATTATTAGAAACGCTTTTCTCCAGTCCAGGACCCATCGAGTCATCAGATTTATAATGCAACTTTTTATTTACTTTCGGGTAATCTGCACTAACTACATWTTTTTCTATAACATCTCCGTTCTTTAATTCATTTACTTTTCCATAATTAGCCAAATATGTATTCAAAAAGATATCTCCAGGAATCCTTGGAAGTAGAGTTTGAGTAGCTTCATTGGAAGCTTTTACATAGTCAGTCATTTGCGCAACGGAATATGTTAAAATAACTGAAATATAAATATGAAAAAAATAATCAATATATGTAAAACAAAATACTTTATTTATTATATATTAACTACGAATATATAAGGTTCCCACCTGTAGCTGTTGATTAACTAATTGGAATTTTAATCGGAGAAATTCATCTCCCGACGAAGGAATTCACTTCATGAAATATTAATTTAATATAATTTTTATGATATATGAAATTTTTTAATTTCTAATATACATATATAGGTATATATTGAGTCAAACATTGATTTTCCCCGGGCAATTATTATGTCAATGTTATGATAATATTTATTTAAACAATTCTATAATACAAATATTAGACAGTCTTTACAGGATTACGTACTCGATTTACTTTGTCCACARTATGGTCGCATATGTTGCAGCCACCATTATTTATTTATAATTAGATACATATTAAATTTAGTGATTTATAATGTTTCCAGAATATATAATTTACATATTTATAAAGCTGCCACAATTCGACTATCCCGACTTATATCCGTCCCGATTACGCTTTCATTAGAGAGACTATGGTTTAACCCAGATTTCATATTCCCTATTTCCCATATTCCTTCATATTTCTCTAAATAAATACCTGTCATTAGGAAGCATTTTGCAAACTCTATGGGGATCTCTGGACTTGGGGACAATCCTTTTATATACAAATGGAGTAGTTATATAATTTTTTACCATAACATAATCAACTCCCATATACTTTCTTTGCGTCCGGTGTTTATTTTTCAGTAATTTATTATAATTTTGAGACTTTGAAATATTTTCTGCTGCCTGATCCCTAATTTCTGCTAAGTTACGTTCATTTTTGTTTAAAACATTTTCTTTTAGTCTTTCTCTAAGAAAGTCAACGACAGTTTTAAAATTTTTGAAAAGTAGTTCGCTTGGAGTTGTGCTTATACTATGCTGCATCGTATTGTTTAAAGTCTATGTCTGGTAAAATTTTATCTGACCTAAAATGAGAGCCACCGCTGGTTAGTTTTGCTATCATTGGTGCAAGACTACGATTAACGCGCCCCACCTGTTCATTGTCCAGTCGCAATTTTGACATGTTCTACACTATTTGTATCTAAAAAAATTTAAAAATATTTTGATGTGAACACACTGCACCTATCAGATAACAATATCCTTTGACGATTGTAACTACTAAAATACGGTTCTAAACAGCGGGGTCCTACCTCGTGCCTGCTGAACACACCGCATATAACTTAGGAAATGTGTAGTGCACCCATTTATAACCGAGAATACATATTGTTGCACTGAAACTTTGTCACTTTCCATATGACCCATGTTCTCCCATCTCAATTGGTATATAAAATAGTATATAGTATTTTGCCCGTTTTTTCTACAAGCTAAGCCATTACACATTTCCAAAACACCATTTTCCCTATTTTTCAAATTTCCCCGGATCCCTATATTTTTTTTATCCCGTTTTTGGCAAATTGACAGGTTTTGCTCAAACATGTTTTCTTCAAGAACTAGGATATTTGAAATGCGACTAAGTGCGTCCAAATGGACAATTCTGTTTCCGTTACGATGTTCGAGCACATATTGCACAAGTGCCCATCTGGCTATTCTCAGATTTACTTCCTTCTTATTTAAAATGTGAGTCAATTGCAATCAGTGATTATCTTAAGCTTGAATCYTTGCAGATATACCCTAAAAATTCGAAGTGCATAAATAATTGCAAGTGTTTTCCGCTCAAAGCTGTGGAATTTAGATTCGGGCTCGCTGGTATCCGTATGTTTCGACAAATAAAGGACTGATTGGAGACCGAATTAATTTATTTTTAACTTTCTCAAAATATTGTAACTCATCTTCTCCAAATGTAAATTTAACGTTTTTTTTTAAGTTTGTATAGAGGCTGAGCTTCTCGTGAAAAATTATTAACGAATCTTCTAGGTATGAGTGTAAGCCCCAAAACTTATGTACAGTTTTTGTGTTGCTGGGTATAGGAAAGTTCACTATAACTTCCACATTCTTTTCATTCGACCGAATACCTTTATTCGAAATTTTATATCCTAAATAGCGTATTACTGTCTCCATAAAATGACATTTATCTAATGTCAATTCTAATTTGTTGTGTACTAACTTATCAAAAACTTTCTATAAAATGTAAAATGCTCTTCTTCATTACTTGTAGCTATCGTGATATTCTTTAAATAAATAGCAAGTTTCTCTGCACGAATCAGATCATCGAAAACATTGCTAACAAACCGCTGAAAAGTTGAAGGGGCATTTTTCAGATCGAAATGCCTTTTCAAAAACTCGTACTGCCCCATTGGTGTTGCAAAAGAAGTATATTTAATCGATTCTTCAACCATGTTTACGTAATAGAACCCATTAAATCATATAAAACAGCATTAACTTTTTGTTTTTCACAGTATGACAGTCTTCTTGGAGTTCAATTAAAGGTTTTTTTGTACTCATCAAAAGTTTCATCTCACATCCATTTTTGCCGAATCGAGGCGATTACAACACATACATATAATAATATTGAAATATTTGCTAAAATTTTTGTTTTGCACATACACTTAGTTTATCGTTTTTTATATAAACGTTGCGATTTTTTGCTTAAAGTTTCATTACTTCAATGCAATTCACAGAAAATTTGGTATCATTAAATTAAATTAAATCTTCCGACTTTGAAATTCGAATATTCCATTTTACATTCTAATTTAAATTAGATTGACTTAAAAAGCATCTTCTTAAAATGATTGGATAAGTCATTGTTTTATTTATTACAACTAACATTGTTATTTTTTTTTTTTTTTTGTAATAAAATAAAACTGTTTACATTTACGACAATAAATAATGGACTTTTGTTTTTCCCACTATATTTTAAGAATACATTGTTTTTTCTGTTTACTACATCTGGTGCGAACAAAACTAATATGGTTTCCCGTAATTTAAATACCCTACAAATTTATCGTCTTCCGTCAATTCGTTAACATGTTGTACAGGGCGGCTCTTCCTTTGAGAACAATTTACTGGAAAATGGCCAATTTCTGTGCATACATGGCAAGCACCATGATCTCGTTTGTGTTTTCGGCATACATATGTCCAACGGAGTAACAATTGTAGCATCTCACGGCTTCCGCTGCCTGTTGTCCATTACTCGACTACACATGTTGATTATCTGCTGTCCTTTTCTTTGGTATATACCGTGGCAATTGAATATTTCGAAATGCTTCTAACAATTTATCTTTGTTATTCATTTTAGCTTAGATCGTAAAGTGTTATCCAGAATACCCTCAATTAGACATTCAACCAGTTCATATTCTCCAATTAGAATTTTACTTACCAGAATCAACTTTTCATAGAAATATTCTCGAAACGATTCGGCAGTTAACCACCGCCTGGTTTCAAAATTTTTCTTTAGCATCAAATTGCTTCTTTTTTTCAAAGAGAGATTTCATTTAAAATTTATCAATACGCATTGCAATCAAATCACAAAAATTTAGCGCATTGCCTTTTAATTTATTTGCAATTAGTGCTGTTGGGTTGTTATCATCTAGTTGGTAAACACTCTGAATATTTTTTAGTTGTGCTTGCCATAGTTTAAAGCATTCACCACTACCAGAAAAGTCTGAAATATGCTCTTTCACATCGGCTTTTGCTTGTTAGAAATGTTTCTTGTTTGCTCATCATTATTTCTTTGTTTTACTTTCTGCACAATATGATCGCATCTGTTGCTGCCACTCTATTTTATTTATAATTAGGTACAAGTGAAATTTAAATATTAGTTTATTATATTTTATTTTAATTTATTAACAAATTAAAGTATTAGAATATTAAATTAATACGTCACATTTCAATGTTTGCTTAATGACTAACTCATCCTTCCTTAATAACTGCTACAGAAAGTCATCTCGATTATTTCATTTCTAACGTATAAGAGCGTATTAGAGATTGATTTATTGTTTGAGTGAGTGTAGCAATGTCACTCCTCCCATCTGAAAATATTGCAATGTCCTCCTTGCAGTTTTTTTTTATTTTTATTATTGACAAAATGAGTAGAATTAAAATGTTAACAGATTCATACAATGCTTAATAATATTAGCATTTATTTAAAGCATTTGGCTTTTTTTTTGTTTTGTACAAAATATTTAATGTTTGAAAACTAAAACTAAATTGTAAACATAAATCAGTTATACATATATTTTCCTTCTTTTAAATTGGCTTTTGCATTTTCTTACTTTCCTATTTTTAAACTTTACTACATGATGTTCCCCATCAGATTCGGTTTGAACAAGTCGTACTCTTTTATAAGGGTTACTAATTTTATCTAATCTTTTCCTAGAGGTTTCGGCGCTAACAAAATTCATATCTATTTCTTTTTCTTGTCGGTTTTGATTTATGTTATTAATTCTTCGTTCTTTAATTAATTGAGGATTTGTTTTGGGTGTTTTCGATTAAAAAATATGTTATACGGACTTTCACCTGTAGTGGAATGAGAATTAACATGATTGTATGTAAATAATGCTTGTTCAATTTGAAGAGATTTCAACTCTTTTTCCCCAGAACTACAAATAATTCCCAATTCTTTATTCATCGTGTTATCAATACTACTAATACCAGTTTTCCCACTTGTGACTTCGACTGCTACATTCAATTGTTGACACCACTGTTTTATGCTAACATTATTAATACATTGCAAAGGTTGCATAACTCACATTCATTAATTATTTTAGTTATCTCCTTAACGTTATTAGGATGGTAGTATTTTTGCTTAATGCGATTTGCAACTTTTTCGATTCCTTGATGCAGTCCTTCGAGGTGAATTTCTATTACTTTTGATTTGAAGACCGAATAACTTCAATATTTTCTAATTCCTTCATGGTTCGGTAAATTTTAAATCTGTTTGAAGTGATCAGTCTATTATAAATGTTTTGCAATTGTATAAAGTCGTCATCATCTGTCATATTTTTGTTTAATAAATAAGTTTTAATTATGTCCTTTATAAACTCAGTTGTTACTTCCT